GCGCATGGAGGGCGAAGGGGGTCGGGGCGATGGTCCTGAATAAGCAGGGAACATAGACCGCAGAAAACTAACCGTACTTCAAGTCAAACGACCTTTATTCGACTTCTTTTTGCAACCTTCCTCTAAGAAGGGTACAGTGGATTTAATGGCCAGATGGGATGTGCAATGTTTGGCTTGATGGTTGGATGATAATGTTTTTGTTTTTAAATATACATGGCATTTGGATGTGCTTGCACAAATCTGAACATTATCTCCGTTATACTCCACCAATTGATGCCTGACAACCCTTTGGGACTGCTGTGGGTGTTGTTTTTGGGACCCCGGATGTCACCATGGGAAACACAAATTATAAAATATTATATATATATATATGTTTTTTTGGATACCCCACATGATCCATCAGCATCCAACATGAGCCCCATGTCAAATTGTGCTCCTCCCTGTCAATCTGCTGACGTTTGGCGCACGAGGATGAGGATGGTCTCTTGAAAGATGGCCTCGAGGAGCTCAAAGCTGCAGCCGCCAGGATGCCGCGGCCGGAACGGCCACAGGAGCCCCAGTGGAATTGGAAGACACGGTCTGACCAGTGGAAGAGCTCGCACTCTTGGCACTCCGGGCAGCGCTTCCAGGGTTGGAACACGCGTCAACCGTGGCACCGTTGGGGCGATCGTGGCTACGGGCGACAGAGCCACACCCCGCCGTGGCGATGAGCATTTTGCAGCTTGGTGGGAGTGTTTCACGGTCGGTCTCGGTCACAGGTTTAGGGTTTAATGATTCAAACTGGATTCCGACCCGTAGAGTTGGTTGTTGGGTTGTGCGAGTTGCTAGCTTGAAGAGTTGCCTCTTGCAGGTGGAGACCAACAACCAAGTCACGTAGTTTTCCACCGCTTCCCACGTTGGGCAGGTGGAAGTTCAAAGGGAGTCACATTCAAACATGGAAGTCGAAAATCGTTTTGCTAGCCTGTTGAGGGCCCCTTTTACTTTACAACAAATATATGGGTTTCCTTGGTCATTTGGGTTTACCTTTTTGCGTTTGTTTGCGAAGATCAGCGTGCTCTCCAGCCAATGACCTCGGGACTTGGGTCGCAAATCAATTCACGACACGGTGCGAGCTAGACTGCAGCTAGGCAGCTAGACGTGATCCACTGAGGAAGTCCCACGAAATTGGGGAGGGAAGAAGGAAACGAGGCAACAACATTGCCTATTTGGGTTAGTTTTCTTGGCGCCCACCGAGGACCGAAGATGACACTTACGACCTGAAGCGGCAGATGACCGACAGGTCACCCTTTTAAGCGCACAGCAGTAAGTGGCCGCGGCCAAAAAAGGAACTCAAGGTTCAACTGTGGGTATATATTTTTTGCTTTGTTGTCCCGGTCTACAGAACATGTTGACACTTTGCAAATCACACCCGTTCCACCATAATTATTACAATGTGCATCATATGATCATATGCCACAGTAATTCAGGTGCTTTGCAACCAATACTTGCCCGTCATGTTTCAGGGCTTGCTCCAGCAAAAGTTTTGAGTACATCCCTGCCTCGAGGACAATTCCCCAACATTTTGGTGTCTTTTGGAGTGAGATAAGAAGGGTTCTTTTTGACATAGATAAAATATCATATATATATATATATGATATATGATTTAGTTTATACTGTATAGCATCGTTGGCAAGTTTCCGGGCTCCGCCGATGATGCACTTGCGCTTTTGAATGTCTCAGCCCTGGAGTTCAGACCCTTTTCTTCTTCCGTTGACAGTGGCCTTCCACCTGTCCTTCAGAGGTGGCCAGATGCAATGCCTATTTTCCTGAAGTTCATTTGCAAATTCTGGAGAAGATGTTCCAGGAGCCGGGGAGCAAGGAAAGAGTATGCGTTCAAAGGTGTTTTGTGTTCTTGCTGTCGGCTTTTTGAGTCGCATCATGCTTTTGCCCAGATGTGACTCAAGAAGACTACAATGATCCAATATGAAGATCCAGATGTGGGGATTGCTTTGAACCCCACGGGGCATTCAGGGATGCCGGGATGCCTGCAAAATACAGTGGACCTTTTTCTTTCGTGACATTTTGGTGGTTCTTGGTGTTTTTGCATGGACATCACGGGGGCACCTCAATGAATTGGTGTTTGGTTTCAGAGTCAAACAGTTGAGTTTGATGCGCTGTGGAATGCAAGGGGTGCGTTTGGAGTTCCAAGTTTGTCCTACAGTGGAGTCAATTTCTTGGAGAGCCTGTGATGCGGTGCTGTGGAGTTAAACAATTCTTCACTGGCCTAGGGAGTCCAGGTTCCGACCCAAATTGAAGGCGGAGTACGGTGCAAGGTGGGACTCTGGGCGGTTCCTGTGAAGTACCCATTACAGTGCTAATTTCCCTAGGGCTCCAACCACCTCTTGAGAAGATGGTTCGGGTGGGATTGGAGGGTCTAACCACCTGAGGAGATGGTTGGAGCCCTAGGGTTTATGTTTGTTTTCCAGGGCTCTAAGACACTAAGAGCTGACCATCGCCGACACCTCGTCCGCGAAGCAGCCTGAAGGGCTCGATTTGGACCGTGGAGGCCTCGCTAGGCACCTGCAAGCAGAGCTGGTGGAGATCGGAAAGTGAAAGGCAAGTCACATAGGAGGATGGCAACTCGCACTGGCACGGAGGATTCCTGCACATGTCTGGAAGTGTTTGAGCCCCCATTGGTGGCCCGTGAAGCAATGTTGAATCCTGTTGAATCTATTCCTGGAATTGCAACACCACTGTGTCGAAGACGCCAATGTCGGTGACACAGATGCCAACGTTAACGTTGGATGTGTTAGCAGTTGTTTTCAAGCATTCCACAGTACGTACTCTTCCTCACATGTTGATCATTTCGCATGTGTGTGAACATGTTTGAGGAGGCCTACGATCCCCCAAAACCTTTTTGCCCGGTTGCTTCATGGACTGCACCACTGTGCTGCCATGGCGCGTGGGTGCGAATCTCTTGAGCTGGAAGTGGGACATGGACATGGTGCTCCAAAGCGACGCGGGGAGGCGTGGAAGTTTCGACGCACGCTCACCTATTGGATTGCGATCATGCTCCTCAGCAAGCTCCACTTTCAGATGGATCGGTGGTGTGTTTCGATTTTCCCCCGAGCAATGGATGGAGCGAATGGAAATGGATGTATGGATGGAAAACCAATTGTAAGGGACATAGCAAATCAAGATTGCTACTGTCGATAACAATGCATTTTACAGTGCACAGGACGTCTCAAAAAACCAATATAGGTCTTTGAGCCCTTAACAAATGAACATACATTCAAAGAACAACTATTTCTCAGAGATCTTAGACTGGGAAGGGGGCAACCTTCAAGAAGAACAAGCAAGGAATAAATAACAACTCATAATGTTTCCTTAGAGGTCTTGGGCTGTAAGGGGGGGTCCGCAAAGAGTCTGCATAGATTCTGGTTGTCATTAGTAATTGTTGTTTAAGTATGTCTTTGTTTTAGACCCCCCTGCCAGCTCAAGACCTCTCTCAGGATTGTTTATTTTTTGATTTGTAAGCCAACTCTTGGCTAAGGCCTTTGGCCATGCACTTGCAAGTGCTGAGGTGAACTGTTAAGATACTGAACAATTGAACGTCGTGGAAAAGAATAGATATGTGATGATGGATGATGTCCATAAGCATATACACATATGAGCAACAACTTTTATTTAGGCTTTTCTAAAGTCGTCTACGGCCCTACGGCATGCTTTATTTGCTTGTCTATCATCAGTATTCGTGAACGAGAAAGGGCCCCACATAAATGAGATGCTTTTGCTTGACGACACTAAAGTAGTCTGAACGAGATATAGCGCTATAGTGTGATCTGCTACTAAAGTAGTAAACGAGATAACCGTGACATGACCTCCTACTTAAGTAGTCTAAACGAGATAGGGCCCCCACACAATAGATAGTGTATTTGAGCTTAGTACATAAATTTCGCTGCACACACACATATATATATATAGGGTGTGCATTACCTGCAACAGTCAGTAAACAATTATCATAATTTTTGCACAAGGCCTTTACTAACCATCATCATCCACTGTTGCAGGTAATAGGATAGACCCAATATATATATATGTATGTATTCGCACCCAACGGTTACAATCAGCAAAGATAAATCAGGGTATACCACTTGTCAATTGGATTCAGAACTCAGTCGGTCGTGGACCATGTCCATCAGCAGATCCACGGCAGTTCTCCACCATCAAACATGGAAGATCATGGAAGTATATGACGGATGATCCAAGTGTATATCATGTATCCCGGATGTATGTGTTTTTTCTCCCTTGCTGAACGGGTCATGAGGTGCCTCCCCCCCAAATGAACGCACCCGCGTGCAACTACCGGGTCGCTGGAGGTTGTTTCGTGTATTCATGGGGGGTCATTCATGGGGAAACACGTGCACAAGCCGCAAGCCACTTCATATATACATGTGCTTGAGCAGGCAAAAGCATCATATCATCATCATATCATGTACGAATCCACTGACCATTTTGTGACACTTGGGGGGGCACTTCATTTCATGGCGTTATCCTTGCAATTCGGTTGACCCTTGAGGAATAGCAACACGAATTGCATCAGTTCCGACCGCAGCTGCAACCCCATGGACGCCCTTCCGAGCAACAAGAATCCTCCAAAAATATATCCGGAGAACCTGCAAGTTCAATAGCGCCCTTCCTTGCTCTCGGGGACTTGTTCGAAGAGGCGACGGGCCCCCGAACGTCCTAGGTTCGGCGAGGGCTCAGTGCTCTTCGTCATTGGCGCGGGCTTCGCAATGTCCGGGCTGACAGATGTCACTTCACCCCACTACCAGCGGGTCACGGAGCTGGCGTTGGCGCCTGGGTCGGATGGAGAGGGGCTGAGAGGGTCCACTCCGTTTTCGAAGGAGTGGGTTGCAGGACCGAAATGGACAGAAACTCCCTTTGAGAGCGGGAACCGATATGGTTCGGTATGAGCTGGCGGTTTGTTGTGTGGTTTCTAATGACGGTCGATTTGGTCTTGGATGTATTGACACTACCTGGACTTGACCACATAGAAGCATGTCTGAAGCTGCAAGGACGCGTGTGAAGGACAAAGCCCCATGGAGGGTTTTTGTCAGTGAGAAAGTTGGCTCAACCACCGGCTTTGCAATGAATTGTTCCTCCTGCAGCCCTTGTTGTTTGGTGGAGTCATCACTCAAGCTGAAGAGAAGATTATACAACAAGCTCCAGGTTTTGGAAACTGATGTTTGGCATAAAAGAACAAAGTGATTGGCACTATAATATATATATATACTGTATATATATATACATACACCCAAGCTGGGTGCGCATCACCCATGAGGAACAACTCATTTGGTCTACATCACCAATTAATTTGACTGAGAGCAAGCCCCTGCAGATTCCTGTCACAGCATGAATTATGAATTATTCATTGCTCGCTGCATGAGATGCTATCCTTGTGTTGGGGCGTTACCGGGCTTTGTTTCTCGACAATTATGTTTGTGAGGATTTGGAAGCTTCCATTTCAACCAGGTGCCCAACTGTACAGGCAAAGGCCCGTTCGCCCGGTTGACATCTTCCATCGCACTAGGTGAACACTCCCTACTGTGTGGGCGCGGTGTGTTTCACCGTGGGCGCATATTTCGGAGTGCTGAAGGTGGTGAACCTGACCACTCAGGACGGTCTGAATTGGACGGATGCCTGATAGGCACAGGTCTCAGATATGAAGCCTCCAATGAGTTTGGAGCATTGGAAGAGCACACGCCTTCGGGTTTTTGTTTTCTATGACTCGTGTAGCAGGTTTCCCAGTTTCATCCGCCAGGAGGGTGAAAAATTGCAACTCCTGGTCTTCAGCAAAGCCCATCTTTCCAGGATTGCCACAGCCGCCGATCTCAGATCCTTGGGCTTCGCCGGGCTTTGTTTCTGTCGTGACGGGTTTCATCGCTAGTTTGGTTTCATCGCTTTGTTCACCTCTTTGGTTTGTTTTTCTCTTGAATTAGTTTTGTTGAATCTTGACCTGTTGTGATTTGTTTGGGTGTGATGATGTGAGCTTGGGCGGTTCTGTTGTGGTTGTGTTTGTGGCTTGCGTCTCTACACGAAGAGACGGGTCTTTCCAACTGCATAATTTCAGAAGGACCAACCCCGGCCTGTTGGCAGTTTGCAAAAAGCCTGGAATGAGGAATGAGGAAGCTTCAATCACAAAAGGGAAAGGCTCAATGGACTGCCAGAAGGGCAGAAGGCTATAGGCGTGTGCCTATTCACCGAAGGCGCTAGCCATGTGAGCGACAGAGCATCGGAGGACCAAACTGTTTGGCTTCGCACTACAGAGCTAATTTGGAGCTACTCTATGCCCGACACAGGAGCACAACAGAACGTCTACCCAGAACCCCATTGCAACCACTGTCGCTGATACACATGTATACGATGTACAATATATATATACTTATATATATACCTGTGCGTGTACAGTATGGAATATATAGTATTAGTATTTATTTCTATAGAGGGTCCAGCTAGTCGGTGTCGGTGATGTTGAACGCTGCCATTACCAATATTGCATCCCTGGCCCTGGATGACTGGGAAAGAAGAAACAAGACATTCCACCCCCTGGATCGGGTGTAGGTCTGTGCTGTAGCAAAACATAGCAAAACCATCAATCATGTGATTCGTTCGTGGTTTGGGTTGGGATTCCAGCAAGTCATGAAGCCTGGTAGTAAGGATCCTGCATGTGTGATGGTGGGGTCCCATGCGCACAGCTTCCACCACAACTGCCAACTCCTCCAAGAGGAGATGAGATCAGACAAACGCGCTGGCAGAGATATATAGAACAGAAGTCCAGCTTAAACCAACCCACTCATTACCTCCCCCTTAGCCTACAAAAAGAAGTAATTAGTGGTGATATCTAGTGATCATGGTGTGGGTGGTCATGATGGCACACACACACACTTTTCTGTGTGGTTCCGGCACCCAGGATCACTGGGATCCTACTGGCTGAATTTTTTGGGCGCCGTGGCCTTCAACATCGACACGTTGGCGACCTACTCGTCAAAGGCGAAGGTCTCGCTGACCTGGGGCATGGCTGCGCTGGGTGGGCTGTGCTTCACCCTGGGAGGCGCGGAGAATCTGAGAGTTCGGGTGGATCGGCGAAGGGAGGAAGGAAGGAAGAACAGCGAACCTCCAGGGTCGCTGCAACTGGAGTTTCTGGATACTGCAGCACCCTGGAGGCACATGTTTGAACCTTGGGATTATATAGTTGTTTCATTGAATATAGTTGTTTCATTGAATCTTGAGTCAATGTAATGCTTTCACGTATGAATTGCTGAGGGATTGTGACTGTCAAGTTCGGTCTTACATTGCCACGATGGTGACAGTTTAGCGAAGCACATTCACCACACTCATTTGGTTGGTTCATGTTCACATCGCACATCAGAGGTCGCCCTAAGTCATGTTGACCATTGCAAGGTTACCTTTTTCCTGGCCCTGCCCGAGCCACCTAGGAGCATTGGATTGTGGAGCGAACAGAGTTTGGACCAGCCAAGCGATCACGGCCAACTGGTGGGTCAGCGTTGGCAATGCCGTGGGCGGCGCGTGCTTTTTGGTCCCTGGCATTGTTGGGGGGCTCTCTCCCTCTCCTGTAGTGTCTTGGAGCGATGGGATGCGATTGGAACGATTCGGGGATGAAATCTGGAAAAGGGTGCTTGGAAGTGATTCAGAATGGAGCAAAAACACCAACAAGCAGGTATTTTCTTGGAAATCACGGCACAAGTTGTGGATACTATTTTTCTAGGCTGAATGCGAATGGGCACAGGTTTCTTAAGCAAATCTATGCAAATCTTGCATATATTTTGAGCATGGGGAAACATGTCAACATAGACATACAACTGGAGACACCCAGAACTGGTTGCTGTGAAAAGTCATTTTGAGTGGATTGCTTGCAGGTGCATGTTGGTTGGAGGTTGGTCCCAAACAGGAGCCTGACCAGCTCAAATTCCGACAATATGTACGATGCATAGAGCCACATCAACTTTTTTGGCTCCCAAACTCGGTACAACTATACTTCTATATACAGTGTCTACTAGGATCTAACAAGTATACAAGATGGTGGACAGCACAACCGGATTCGCCGTTCCATGCATCCCATTGATCCATTTATCGGATCAGAGTAGATGGCACATGATGGCACAGATCCTCCGCAGGTGGGGCAGTTTCAAGAGCTTTTTTGCTGGGAACTCCTTGATCATAGTGGGGTTGTTGAAATGAGTTGGCATATATAAGTCTTCCGTATATCCCCTGCTGCCCAACAAGGTTAGGGTGAAATCGCACATCAACCAGCCATGTTCTTTTTTCCGTGCATAACTCAGGTGTACTATTGGTGCGTCGACTTCATTTACTTCCTGGGTTCCTTATCCTTCCTGCTGGCTTCCGTTTGCCAACTCTGGAAGTGGAAGAACGAGCAGCATCCGAGCAGAGAACAGGTCAATGCGAGCACGTGACATGATGTGTGCATTGCCCTATGACTCCCTAGGCCCCACTGTGGGGCCAGACAGGCGTTTCACATAAGTTTTGGAACCGCATTGTTTTCCTCTAGTGGAAGTACTTGAGCCTTTGCAGCGCCAAGGTATGCGCTGGGTCATCCTGAGGAGCTGCAAAGCGTCGCCAGCCCAGGGCCTTCGCACCAGGATGTGGAGTACGACTGCCAGGTGGGGATTGCTCGTCGGGGAACACAGGTGGTCATGGGCACTTGATTGGATTATAGCACAATATAGGGCCTGTGCAAGTTGCAGCAATAGACATCAATAGACTGACGTTCATTACATAGACCGACATGGATGGTAGGCCATGCAACCCAGGTACCAACAGCGATTGATTTTTCACTGCTTGCAGATAGGACGAAGGCAGTGGAGTGGTGAATAGATTGAGTGCCCATTTAAGGAAAAGACTTTAAGTAACCTAATAGCGATGTCCTCCACCCTAGTAGCGCTGGCCTCCAACCTAATAGCGATCCATTTGAGCATGATTCAGCTGGGTTTGGTTTGTGTCCCTCCTTTTTTGAAATTGTTTGGTTTAAGCAACCACGACTTGTTCGGAAGTTCCATCACCTTCCGCCGCGCACTGGATGGACAGACAGCCAGGTGACCAGTCAGATCCCTTGGCTGCTCCTGTATAAGATCAATGCATCGCTGTCAGTGGTTGAGACTCAGCTGGGACTTAGAACACAATCGCAACAAGAACCAAGAACCGCGCTGGCAATGATTCAGAACCGCGATGGGACTTAGAACCAGCAATGCAATTACTGGGACTTAGAACAATGATTCAGTCTGAACCAAGTTGTCGCGCTCCACGGTCCGCTCTGCAGGACATTGCTGTGTCCACCTCTTTGCCCATCGGCGATGAGACCTGGTTGAAGCGCTCCTTGCAACTTCCGAATGCATTGGTAGAAGCTGATTATATACATGTCGATGTTGCATAATGTTTCTTTGTTAGAGGTTTCTTCTTGCTGTATACTTTGCATCCGTTTGGTCCTTGGTGGTCGGTGTGTTCATATGTTTCCGTTTCAGGCCGCAATGATTAGAATTATGTAAGTGTTGTTTTCTTTTGCCCGTGTGGTGTCCAATGCAAAATGTAGTGGGGATTTTGTGGGTGGTTTAGGTGGGCATTTGGGAACTACAGATACAAACTCATCTTACCACCAGGCTGAACCCAGCCGGATGAATTCGGCTTACCAGAACCATCGCAAGTGCTTCTAGGAACTTCATTCCAGCATTGAATTGGCAAAGCATTTATGTTGGTTACCCAGAAGCATTGCCGGCTTGCGCGGAGGCAAGCATTGCTGAACTTCATGCTTTGCCACGGCGTGATCTTGCTCGGCTCGGTGATTCATCATGCGCCCACCAAACGGCCATACACTTGGCTTTTGGCCTACTTGCGTTGCCTGGATTTGCGGAGATCATGATATTGATGGCTAGCTATAGGTGGATTTGATAAACATATCAAGATAGATGCATCCTCATAATTAAAGAACATTGTATTTATATAGTGGTCAACATTTTTGAGGTACGAGTTTTTGTGTGTAAATCTGTAAATGACCAGTTTGGTGCAAGAATGAAACATATGAGAAGCCCCAAAAAGCTTGAATAACAGTTCGTTAATACAATTTGTGAAGTGGAATAAGGCAAACGCAACCCCTTTTGGAGACTTGCATTTAGCAGCTTTGCTGCAAACATGGGTCGTGATGGTGTGTTTACTAAAGTGCAGATACTCATTCCAACACACCAGGCGCGGGGCCATGCCCAGTCTTCGCATGCATAAGACACCTAGGCTTGGTGCTGTTGCTCTACACCATTGACTCAGCGTGGTCAGTTTGGCAGGAAGTGCGAAGCTTGAGATGGGCCGCGAAGAGTGGGGTCAGCCCTGCCGAGCTCAGTGACGAGCTCCAAGGATAGTCTTTTTAACCCCACCTCCCCCGAACAAGAACGAACAGACATCAAGTTTTAAGTATTACTCACACAGGAGTAACTTTTGTAATGGTTGTTCATGTTGCTTGCATTAGGGCAGGGGATGGTATTCTTTTGCTTGGCTAGCAGCTTCCAGGTGCTAGCTGCTTGTCACCAAGCTCCAAGTCAGCCAGTGCAAAATTAAAAGGATCCAATTCCTAACTATGCCCGACTGGCGGGTATAGCAACAGTGGGTCGCTGGGCTGCTTGAGTTGGCTATGTAAAGTCCATTCCATGGCCCTCACACCGTGCCCGTTTGATGGTTACGCCCTCAACGTTCGCGCAACGATGTGGGCGGCCGCGAATTGATACGAATTTGTTTGATGATAATTGAGCAACGTGCATCGATGCCAGTGGATTCTAGAACTTAGCTATTGGAGGTCTCAGTTCATCCAAGCTTAGGCTGCCTCTACCTGGGGATCAGTTCTTTATAGATATGAATGCATGCTAATCAAAGAGTCAAGCCCAGTATATACCCGAATCGGACCACATGTTTGACATGTCTTTCACACGAGGATGTCACCCCATGCAAGGCCCAACAACAAGGGCCCTCAAGGTTGTCCATAGTTGTCCCTTTGATCTTTGACATTCTTTGACCGCTTCGAACTGCTGGGAAGATGTTCGGATGCTCTCCTTGCCACGGATCCAGCGGCCATTTGTCATGACCTTTTGAAGTGCCGACGGGGCGGAGCCGCGGAGCAAGCCAAACAGGAGGCTCAGGAAAAGGAGTCATGCGAGGGGCATGTGGCAGGGGGTGATGATATATACTGTAAATTTGCAGAATCATCGAGTCCAGGATATGTTTGATTCGGTATGATGTGGTAAACTCAATAGTTCCGGTCACTGCTTCGTCGGGGTGGCGGGTTCGGTCTCGATGATCGGATGGAAAGTGGTAGGAAATTGAGCTGGACAATCACTGACAATAAGACTATGCAAAGAAGACCAAGTGGCAAAGCATGACAAAGGCATAGCATGGGTGCAAAATGGGACCCTCCGAGACCCATGGTTGGAACCTGTGCGGAGCTTCACGGTGCCTGTCGTAAGAAGTGCTCCTACTTGATCGACAGAGATGCGAAAAGGATCGAGACTAGAAGACGCAACGCGAAGACAATCCCTATAGGCCCTAGTTCAACTCTCCGCTGCCAAGCATTTTCTGTTTTGTGACCTCGAGATAGATTTCAGTGAATCACCAGAAGATGTGCAGACGATGACAGTAGACATCACATAGGCCTTTGTCCCTCAAAAAGAGGGGCCGCGAAATACCACTCCTTGACCGAAAGGAACAGCTCTTAAGCTCTGGCTCGCGATTGGAACGAGGAGGTGCCGGCCGTTTTGGGGTGTGAACCGCGTCCGGTTTGGACTCAGGCGGATTGTTGCATGGTTAAAGGATGTGTTGTAAACAAATGCGTTCTACAGTTGAAGCGCTCCAGGAAGAGACTCTAGAGACCATGGACCAGCATGATTCCCAGCTGCGAGGTATGATTTGCTTGCTGCAGGGCTTTGGTGTGCCCATGAACACCTTGCAGGAGCTGAAGTGTGATCCAAGAAAGGGGTTTTGATGGTGGCTGGCCCTCTCCGTGTGCTGGTCGACAAGAGCCCCTGTCAAGATACTGAAGGAAAGCTATCACGGGAACCCTGCGTACTTGTTGCAGCGCCTGCTGAAATTCGCCATGTCTATACAGGCCAAGGGAGCGTCAAAGGCGCCTAGAAATACGCTGGGTTTGCTGGCCCTCACATTTCCAGCCGTGGCATTCCGCCGTCAGGTTTGGCCATTGGGTGAGAATCGGAACGGCCAGGTGTGAGTCAATGGACTCAGATGAGTCTCAGATGGGCATACATTCGTTTCTGAAAGTGGGGTTCCATCAGATTCTTGAATGTAAGGCTGTTGGAGCCGGACACAAACACGAAGTTGGAAGACCATTTACCTCTGCCACCCATTGCTGTTGGAGTTTCACTTGATCTTCCTGAGCAGGACAGGCCATTCTTGCCATCGCCTCCCGGTTCCCCTTCAAAGGGCGGCCATCCCTTTCCGCCTCCTCCGAGCGACACCAGGAGCGAGATGCCATTCTTGCCTTGGTCGACCCAGCAAGGCACGGTCAACCCATTCAGGTGATGGCGATGTCCAGGAGGTTTCCGCACATTTGGCTGATCAGGACCAGCAAGGCTTTGTGCACGATCTGCCATGTCCACACATAAAGATCTTCTTCCAAAAAAGGGAGCCAAGGAACAAGAAGCTATTAGGGGCTCCTGGCATCACTAGGAGCAAGGACGCTACTAGGGGCTCCTGGCCGTACTACAAGGAGCAAAGACGCTACTAGTAGCCAAGTCATGACTGCCGTTCGCCCCCCAGGCGTTCAGCCCAAGTGGCCGGTGCTGATCACGGAGAGTTTGGCAGCCACATGCTGACCTTCCCGGTGCTGCTCGGGGGCCCAGGCAGCTTCGCCCAACAACTAGGTCGGCGGAAGCAGGCATCCGCGCGGTTTGAATCCGCACAATGTGGGCGAATTAGGTATCGGAACGGGATGATTGGTTTGTGATATAGTGCGATCATGAAGGATAGATTTGTGTTCGGATATTGACATTTCCAGCATTGTGGATGAATGGTGGATGATTTTGTCCTATCCCTTTTTAGCCAAGCGGCAAGAGCCAACCCATGATTCCTGGAGTCTGGCTCCTATCCAGTATATAATGAGATGTAATGAGGTCAAAGATTCACCTTACTAGTTCAAGGCTTTGAGTGACCGGCTGTTTAATTAATGAGAAAAGCCCAGATCAAGACTCAGCCATGCTTGAGATTAAACAACTTGAGCAAAGAATGCAACTGTGGTGCTGATTTCAGAGGGCACTTGGTGTGGTGAAGCACAGCTTTTCTCAGGCTTCATTTGTTGCGGAAAATTGCCTCGAATGGTCAGATGCAAGTCATGGCGAGGGAGTTAAAGGCCAGCCCAGCTGGGATGAGAGTGGATGCAAGCACCAGATGGTTTGGAAAACAACAACGTGGAGCATGGCGGGCACTGCTAAAGTTAAAGGAGAATGGATGCCTTTCTTCAGAATCATCCTTGCATGTTGCATGTGCGTTGACCTACATGATAGTGTGGTAGTGGAGGGTAGGCTATGAGTCCAAGAATCATGTGGTGCGGTGGGTGTCATAGGCCCATGAATCAAGAAATCGGAGTAACAAGCTTGGCCAGAAATGGCAGGTTCGGGAATTCCCATGCATTTTTGGGTGTTTTCTTTTTCATCCCAACCCCGGACCTGGACCGGGAGAAAAAAGTGCGCCAGGCCATGAAAGATGCAAAGGTTTCACACGCAGAAGTGGTGGAGTTCCGGCAGGCCCAGAAGGGGAGCCCGCGCTGCGGAATGGTGTAGGTGACAACTGACCGGAGCCCTTGGGTGCTCCGTGTAGGTGTGCAACAGACACCGAGGACAGGACAGAATTGTCATGTTATAGTAGCAAGTGCATCGCTACTAGTAATACGAATCTACTAGTAAGTTTTAGGCTTTGGATGTTTAAATGTTGTGTCTTGTGTACGAGAAATGGAAGCCATCCCAAAGCTGAGTGAAAGCTCCACAGCGAGTCACTGGCTCTCAGAATAGAACTTTAGACTGTTGTAGCTAAGCTGAGTGAAAGCTCCACAGCGAGCCACTGGCTTTCAGAATAGAACTTCAGACTGTTGTAGCTAGAAAATGCTATATACAATATAACGCGGGCTGCAAGCAGATGGCTGGGAATGTGAGTGGAAAAGGGTACTTCTATCACCCATGCATACATACATACATACATTCATGCATTGCATTGCCTTGCCTTGCATTGCATTAGATTGCATTTCATCACATTACATTACATTACAGCACACTACATCACATCACATTACATTAATACATAGATATATACATTACGTCGCATTACACTACATTGCTTTAATGTGTATATATATATGCATTAACGCATCACATTACATGACAATACACTAACTACATGACATGGCATGACTGACATGACACGGCAGACAGCCAGACAGACAGCCAGCCAGACAGCCAGGCAGGCAGACAGACAGACACAGTGTATATATATATACATATACATGCAGTTATACATGCATATCCCTGAGGCTCATGGACCCTAAATGCGACACATTTGAGGTCCAAAGGCCTAGTTGTGAGGGTCAAAGCCCTGGCTATAAGGGTCCAGTGCGCCTTTGGGATATACAATATTTGCGCATTACACATCATTACAGACACTCTATTGTCACTATTGTAAGTGTGAGACAACCTATCCATCGCCCTGTGCGAAGCCATCCAGCCGCGTGGACACCAGTGACCCAGCCCATTTGGGACAACGGGTCCTCAATCAGCTGGCCGGTGAGTGTGGGTTGAGGCAAAACTCATATACAATATAATATATTATACTGTAATATATACTATTAATATAGGATAGCAGCGTTTGGAAGTGGATCCTCCCCCAGACTGCCGGGCTCCCATGATCCGCAGTCTTTTGCAGTGGCCAGGTCTTCAATCAGCTTGCGATCGAAGCAAAGCTGGAGAAGTCACCGCCTAAGCTTCAAGCGCTGCAGGCGAGGTTGGTGGCCACTAGACCAAACCAATTCTCAATGTGACCTGACATCGAAAGTATTGCAGCCAGAGATGCTTAGACTAATGTCCTGAAACTGCCAGTTTAGTATGTTTAGTGAGTGATTGGACAATTTAAGACTAAAAGAACTTGAATACAATATTTAATCTTTTCCACTCCAAGACATCGCAAGCCCCAGATGTTCCGTGGGACGGCACAGGCTGCGGCGGCGGCATCGCCTGGGGGACGTCGGCGGTCCATGCCAGATCTCAGCTGGTGTCCTCAGATGGTTCTGGTGCCGCCATGCAGTGGCTGCTCGAGATTTTTGCAGCTTGCTGAGAGCAGTCATTGGTTTTTTAGTAAGGGTTCCGGGCCCCCAAAGAAGGTCTACAAGATTTTGGAGAACCCATCCCTTGAGTAACTAATTTGGATGGTTCCCGAAGACTATGTTCATGAGGATCCTTTGGATTCTGGTAGGGTCCACGACAGGTCTGGCAAACAAGTGTCAAATTCAATCGTCCTGAACCAAGTCTGAGCTTTTGTCCGCTGAGGTGCTATGATGGCGGCCAACCCAGCCTTCAGAGCTCCCGACATACTTGGTGCAGAAGTGTTTTCTATTATCATATATCATATAATATCATATATGTATACAATATAACCATATCTTCCCACAAGTCTTGCCGAAGCATCAGGCTGTGCATGTTTTTATGATTGGAAAAAATCCAGCCAAAGTTTCCCTCCAGCAAGAGTAGCCATGTCAAGCCAAACTATTGCCACATCCTCTATAACCGATTTGATCACAGATGTGTTTCAGCTTTGCCCTGATCACTGTTTTTGTTTGGGGGATTGCACCTGAAAAGATGCACAAAATCTGCAACGAACTGAAACAGGACAACACAGGAGTTTCCTCTACAATGCAATCAAGCAAGATTATGTGCAAGGTTGTATTGTCAGAGTCATTGTCACACTGTTGGTGATACGAAAGGAGCCCTCTACAAAGTGAAGGAGCATGCCACGAGTGCTCAACAAAAGACAATGGATGGGCATCGATGGACATTTATTCATAATATTTCATAATCAGCGATATGGTTTTGTGATGAATTGAATGGTTTATTTATAACTTATAATGAAGTCTAGGTCAGCCATGTACTGTACTTCAGACAAGCTTCGCCACAGTTGTTTTGGCCAGGCGGCATTGATGCAGATCCCAATTTTCAAGCGCTCAAGGCGATTGCACTGACACTGGGGGGAACTGATTCACCATGATTCACCATCTACAGAAGTGGTCAGGCTGTGAGTTTGGGGTTGCCATTGTCCATATTCTGGCAACTTCCTCTCCTTTTTGGACTTCTTTCTTGCACCGGGTGCTGGGTGCTGTAGGTTTACGATGCACTACGCACTGAATTTGGTGGTTTCATGCTGTGAAAAGTTACCGAACTGTGCTGCAGGCTTCTCTCTTCATCAATGGCAATGCCCTTTGTATTTCTGCGCCGCTCTAAGAGTGCCCGTAATACGCGTGCTCGGGAGAAGTGAATCGTGGACAACTACCAGACCTATAAAGTAAGCTCAACATGTCCTTTTCAAGATATGTGCTCTCATGACTTTTGATCTTCAATCCGAAGTAATCCTGGCCTATCCAGCTCTGGGAACGGGCTCTCATCGCCTCCAGGTGACCGCTCTCATCGGGATGCTCCGCTCCTTGGGCGTGCGCATTAGCGAGAAGCAGCTGTTGGAATTGACCAACAAGGCCGGAGGATGTTGAAGGGATCACATTTTTGGAGCTCAGATGCCAAAGACGTCCTTCAAGGAGAAGGATGCCAAGACAGACATGTCAAAGCGAGATTGCACACGGCTTTCCCGGTCAAGAGTTAAACGAGGTTTTCCCATGTTTTCCTTCCCTGGTCAAACGCCAATGGCCTCGAAATGAAGACTGGCCGAGGCCCTACTCACTGTAGTAGACTGATGCGTCCAGACTGGTTATGCGATGTTCCTTCATCCCATATCGAAGGGTAGTTTACTGCATCGATATGCTTCTGTAGAGTGCCCCTCCGCAATTCCAGTGCGGTTTCTTTCGCTTCATGGCCTATGTGCAATTGGCATGAGGGCCACACCTCTCACATGGCATTTCACACCCAATCTAAATCTCTATCTAATCACAACCCACTTCAGACTGTTTAGTTTTGGGGTGCACCGTGCAGCCCAGATCAACTCCATGAAACGCGCGTTGTCGTGGATCCAGAGGTTCGCCAGCTGGCGGAGGAAGAGGATTTGGCAGTGGATCTCACGCAGGTTTGTCGGGCCGTTCATGTGCCCTTGTGAGTTGCAAGCATCTAAGCACCAGGGGATAGGTGCTTGACCAGCCTACCAAAAGAAATGAAGGACAGGGAAAAGCACCATTTAGCGCATTTAGCGCTAGGGTTGAGCGCAATCTATTGTATTTCATTTGGACACAGGGTTCGCGGTTTCTCCTGACAAGTAAGCGAACATGATAGAATTTGATAGAACATGAACAGGTGCAACAACGGAGATTCACACTCGTGCAAACTCATACGCCCAGCCTAAAGAGTTGTTTAATCGTTTTGTAAGATGCAACCTCACATTTGGTCATTGGGAACATCCACCGTTGATGCTCAGATACAGATGTCCGAGAAGACTATCACCCACTGGGAGGAAAGTAGCCGCAGTAGATCACTTGTCACTGACTGAATGCAAATTGTCTGAGCAAAACGTATCTAATTGAGAAAGATACTGTTCTTTTCACGGTCTCCACTCCACTCCACTCCACTCTTGCCGACCGTTCCCGGACCTGGCAGGGCGTGGATTTCGCTGCCTTCTTGCGTGTGATCAGGCGCCAAGCCGAGGAGTGTGGAAGCAGCACTCCAGCGACGGAGTCTAGCGGTTTCTTCATAAAGTGTGCCGGAAGATGTCATTTGTATGGGACTTGTCATGCCGAGCCATGTATGTATGATGTTGTAATGATAATAGTATTATGTATCTATTATCTATTTGATTTGTATATACTGTATATATAACTATATAGTATATGCGTGTCTGTATGCGTGTTTGTGCTTTCCCTACACCAAGCGCAAGCTCTACGAGATCATGGGCTAGAATCCCCATTGCCCTCCATGGATTGCTCCCACCCGTCAAATCCAAAAAGGCCTCCCGGTCGAGTCGGACGTCGGCGTGAAAGAGGTGGATGCTGGACGTGAACTTTGGCGACATCAACACTCGTGCCGCATCAAAGGCAAGAACCAAGGCCGGTGCCGGAAAGTTCATGCGTGTTTTTTTTCTCGGGGCGTAAAAATGACCAGGGGGTTCTGATATGTAAACAACCTGGACTAGAGAGGAGGTCATGCTTTTGGCGGCGTGGTTCCATATTTAACCGCCTTCGGCCAGGTCCGCCGCCCTACCAAGCGTTTGGATTGTAAGAACAAAGCCGTGGTTAGGTATGAACATAACAACAACAAACAAAACAAGAAGAAGAAGAACAACAACAGCAACAACAACAACAACAGAGGGGGAAGGGGGTGAAGTCAGCGAAACGAAAAATCCACGCCAAGGAACATCCGAAGGACAAGGTCAAAATCTTTACAAGCTAGTTTTACAAGCAACCTTGCACAAGACACGCCTCGCCTCTCACGTGGCAGAGGGTCGGCGGATTCTGCAACACACTTGACATTGAATTGAATTGTGCAAGCTTGTTCTAGAATTCAGAACTTAGTCCAGTCTATAGTTATAAGTAAGCGAGACGTCTTTGTTCGGGCCAGAGCCTGATGCACATTCAGTTTGTTTCCATCCTTCTTGCCAGGCGCCACTGCGTGCCCGAAGTCACCACGCCCTCCCTGCCGGGGGCCCAATGCTGCCCCACATGCTTTGAGGCTTCCCAGTCTATAAGGAAAGAACTACACGATAAATCAATCAAGATTCAATATGGTTCCTTGCGGCGGGCCGTACTATTGGGGTATAAAGATCTTACCAACCAAGACCAAGTAGGTGTTATCCTGATGGTTGTCACTCAGCCAGCACTCCAAAGCACATAGTTGCAATTTAATCTCATGGGCATGCACCCTGGAAACCACCGGCGCCAGTTGTGTTTGGCGGAGGTGAATCCCATTCCACAGGGTTTGCGTAGCTTACCACTTGCCTGACCGAGAGCAAAAATGGTTCAAGCAACTCATAAGGTTAGTTTCAGAAATCAATGCGAACATCTCAGGATACCTCGGAAGATCCGCCTCCAACAAGGTGCGAAGCGGGTGGGGTCCGCGGTAGTGAGTGAGGCTACAGCGAAGCTGCAGGGCTGGAAACCTCAAACTCAATTTCCCCTCAAACCGTTATATTTTTGGGCACCCACAGGTAGACTTGGAAGGGCTTTGAACTTGGTCTTTGAGGTTTGCCCCTGCCCTACTTTGAGAAATGTTTCTAAGTGGCAAACATGGTTAATTATTGAAAGTATTCAAAGCCGCCGTCAAAAGTCTGACAGGATCAAAGTCGGTACGATTTCCACGCACTCACAAAGCTGGTGGGCGCTTTTTGTGTAAAAGTAGTTTTGGTTTTGGCATTCATTTTCAAACTGTGGGTGGGGCTTGTTTTTTGTGCATCCCTAAACCACACACTGTCACTGTTGAGCTATGCAATTTGTTTGTTGGAACCCTTTGAACCCTTCATGTGCTTTATTAGGAGCGACTTAGGGGCTCCTGGCCTTGCTACTAGGAGCAAGAAGCTACTAGGAGCAAAGGGCATCGCTACTAGGAGCAAGGACATGCAAGGACGCTATTAGGGGCTCCTGGCCTTGCTACTAGGAGCAAGAAGCTACTAGGAGCAAAGGGCATCGCTACTAGGAGCAAGGACATGCAAGGACACTATAATTAGGGGCTCCTGGCCTTGCTACTAGGAGCAAGAAGCTA